TTGTGTTCCCTAAGCAAGATATTCTGGATGCACATCCTTTTCCTACCTCTTACCTGCTTTCTGGCAGCCAAGTGCACATCAGAGTTCCTCAGAGCTGGCTTTAGTGGCTGGCCCAACGATGTAATTTCTTCCTGAGCAAACCAGAAGACATTGGGCTATTCTTTCATTTGACCTCAGGTRTATGTAGCCACTCTGGTCTTCTTTATTTTCCCTCCCCCTGGCACTGATTGCAACTGCTCTTGTCTTATTTTTGTTGTATCCACTTTTTTTTTTTTTTTCAAATGTGGCATGATGGTGAGTGTTTTGGGGCAGGGATAGTTGTTTTATTTCATGTACATGGCATAATAGGGCCACCAAACTCTGTTGAGCATGTACAAAGTGCATTAGTGGAGAGAAACTGAAGATGCATTCTGCCGTTTCCTTCCATTACCTATGTAAGATGAAAATAAAGTCTAGCCTTGTTTAAAAATCMTCTTCTTTCCTCTAGAGTAAAGCAGTTTATGCCTGCAGCAGGACTAGGTGCCTTCTGGTTCCAGACTGCATGGAACAATCCTGGGGCAATCAGAAATGTTGGAAAGGAAGAGGAAAAGCAGAGAAGATGATGACTCACAAGAACTTTCCCTGTCTGTTATGATTTTGCTTTGCTGCATTGTGCTCTCTGGATGGCTTAGGGAGAGATGCTTTTCCCTCAGCAGTAATTTGCTACTATATGAATATATTGAGAAGCAGAATATTGAAAAATATTAAGAAGCTAATGAGAAATGTCTCAGTACACTCAGCATATTTCTACTCTGAGTTTTTTAGGATTTGATGGTCCAGTGGTACTGCTCAGCAGGGGCACATAGGGRCTGTTAAATCATTCCACAGGAGTCATGACATTCCTTCTGCTTTGTAGTTTAATAGTTTAGTTTAAAAGTGGCCAAGGCACCAACTTCTAAGCTCACTTGCAGACCTAGTCACCTGTCACGCATATTCCTTTTCTTAAGGTGTGCTATGTCTAGCTGAATAAATTCTTCTTACAGCTTTTCAAGCTTGTACTTTGCCTTGACTTTCTCCCCTGACCTGCTGGTCCATGTTGGGCACTGTTTGGAGTTGGCTGAAGCACCATGAAGGAAAGGTTGATTGATGAAGAATACTTATGCAAGAGGAGCAATATAAGACCTTCAATAAGGCAAGGAGCACAGCTTGTACCTCTCATCTCTGAGATGTACACTGAACCTCTGTGCAGGGTTTTCTTTTTTTGTGGCCTGGTAAATTACTGCTGTCATACACCCTCTTTCAGGCCATGGGATTTCAGTGGCTAAAATGGGAGAAAGGTGAGGGTTCAGATTCTGCCTTAAATTGACTTCTTCCAGTTTTCATTACGGTAAAAGAGCTTTCACTTCATGCTAGACACAGTTGAAAGCATGGCTGCCAGCAGCCCTGAACTGCTTGGCCTTGAAACATAGATTCCGGTTTGGATGTCTGAAGGGTTGCTACAAGCAGTTCTTTGACCAGACTTAATATATTTCTCCAGGAAGAGTGACATGTATGCCAGGGAACTAGTACTCCCCTCCCAGTTGTGAAGGCTCASCTCAAACTCAGCTCTGACTCAGAGAGTATCCCCCGAGGGGATAAAAACCAAGAAGCCAAGAAAAACAGACTAATGTGAAGGAAAGGGCTGTGTTCCACCTCCCATTTGGAAGGAGGAGGTGTCTGAGAAGATTGCCTGAGGAGGTTTGCCAGGGTGGGTAACACTAGAAGCACAGATTCAGCCCAATAACAGTCCTGAGATGGTTTTCATCAGCCTCTCCCCGCAGCCTATTGTTCCTGAGTGTGACAAAAGCTGTTGTTAAGCTGGCTTTCTGTGTTACTGTCACACACCAGGGACAAGATACCCTCTGTCAGCCTCTTATGCTGGATACTGATGAAGGAMAGGAAGCTTATAGCATTAGAATAAAAGTCATATTCCAACAATCACAAAACACAAGGGACTATCTTGTTTGTCCCTGTGTTTTGGACTGGTCTTGAGAGTGCTCCCTGACATCTATGGTCTCCATCTCTTGTCTACAGCAATAACTTGCTCTTGGAGCCCTACAGACTACCTACAGCATAGGCAWCATCTACAAACATCTCTCAGGGGAACCCATTATATGCCCAATGAACTTCACATCACTTGCAGCTTCTATGGGTAAGATGGTCCTGTGCCTGCTCCAGCAGCTCCAGGCAGCTGGTTAGTACATCTTTGATCTGCCCGACATCCAACACCAGCAAAGGTTGAGCTTATCACAGGAGAGACGTTGCAGGGTTGTGCAGGGTCCTGACATCCAACTCCAAGACCATCTGCCTTGAAATGTGGTGTCCTGCACTTTGGGTAATCAAGAGGCCTGCATTGTCTTAGATAAATGGCTCAGCTTGCAGCAGMGTGGCTTGATGTTCCTGGAGCCGCTAATCCTAATTAACAGCTTTTTCTGAGTCCATTTTAAAGCACTCTAGCAGCCCAAGTGGACTTTAAAGTGAATGGAAATGACCCCATGGAGAGCTCTCTGGAGATGTTGCTATGCCGACCTGCTTAGAGCAACTATTAAGGTTTCAGCTGCTCTCTTCCATCCTGCAGTGTTGTTATTATCATACTGGCTGAGATGGTGTTGGAAGTGTAGCTGGGATGGATGATGCCTGCCTCTATTTATTTTGCTTGTTTGGAAGATGTCGGAAGAGGGTGAAGAAACAGGGAGACAGAGGTAAAATCATACCGGGCAGAAGTTCAAAGAATCAGCAACAGGAATAATTGTATACACCTGAGATCCTCTGGGGGAAAAAAAAAAAAAAAGTCAATTTTCTCTTGCACGATTCTTAGAAATAGATTTTTTTTTCCCAAGCATACCTCCTTGCTCAAGGTCTGCAGGCAATGGATCATTACCCTGGTTTCCTCACCCAGTCCACTGGGAATGGTGTAATTGCAGCTATGCTGTGCCCTGAATSCTTCCCAGCACGTACAGCTGCCTACCTCCTGACCCGAACAGGCTGACAGAGGTCGTGCTGTGCTGTCAGGTAACTGATGCTGTTTCTCCATGAGCAGGTTCTGCTGCTGGGATGAAAACCTTGGGTCAACTTTCTCCAATAACACAGAGCTGGAGCAACCGAGACAAGGATGGTGATGGTGATGTAGCGGTCACACGGTCAGGTGCCACGGGGGCACCCAACTTGAATGACGCTATGACTGCAGTGACAAAAAACCTCTGCATCACTCATGCCTTATGGAGAAAAGAGTTTAAAATTCCTAGCCAAGCCTGTTCTCTTTAAATTCAATCTTCCCAAAGCCCATAAATCCAAGACATTAAGAGGGAGACAAATCACAATGAATATATTTTAGGAATGTAGAAAGCAACATCTTAATATAGTTTTATTTTTCTTCTCCCCCCCTACTCTTTCCAATCACCGTTGCATGTTTTTAACATTTTGGGAACTGTCAAAGCTTGAAGCGATATATTTCGTGCCAGAGGGAGAAGAGCAGCTTCTCCCTCGTGAGGGTTGAGGACTCAGCTCCCGGGAAATAAGTCGGCAGAGATCTCCCTGTCTTGTTGGTCCTGATGGAGCAGGAGCGGCTGCGTCTAGACCTGCTTGTGAGTGATGAGCTGTACCTCGCTGACGTTTGGACAGAGAAACTGCCTGTTTCAGCAGAAGAAGGAATACCTTTCTCAGGAGTATTTTAATAAATGTCCTCTGAAGGCTCTCAGGTAGAGAGATTCCATGGTGGAAAAAGGCCCTGGAGGCCCAATGCGAAGGAAGGCTGAGGCGGCCTGGGCCCAGGTGTGAGCTCTGGGGCTGCAGCACCACGCTGGTCGCGAGGTCTGGCTGCAGCGAGCGCCTGGGTGCACCCCACTGGGGCCGGGGCCGCAAAGCGGCCATCCTGGTGCGTCCTTGGTGCCTGACTCAAGTCCTGACCCGGGGCTTTGGGTGCTGGCCCAAGGCCCAGCCTTGCTTGCAGCTCTCGCCCTGCGCAGCACCGGGACAGCTCTCCCGACAGGCCATTGTGCTCRGCACAGGGACCATATAGCCGGCTCTTCCCGAGGGGCCGAGCGGCTGGGGCTGTGTGCCCAGGCTGTGAGGGCTGAGGGGCCCGACACGCTGTGCTCCCGGCCKCCATCACTCGGTAACCAGCCCCGGCTGGTGAACCAGCCGGCTTGCTCATCGCTCTGCGAGCAAACACAGCTACACGGCCTCTTAGCACGTGAGGCAGAGGGGCACAACCCCGTTAAAAACCCCAGGCATTGGTGCTTGGAGCAGGGGAGGCTGCTCGGGCCCCGGGTGTCCATGGCGATGGGAGCCGCAGGGCAGCCATGGCGCCTTGGGCAGGGCCAAACCACAGGCCGTAGGTGGACGGGGAGGGCAGGGGCTGCCAGGAGGGCTGGCGTTTTCCTTTGGGACACCCTGAGTGTCCCCAGGCTCGCTGCCACTCGGAGGGAGAGCAGAAAAGGCCAAAATGGACGTTCTTCTCCCTTCCCTCCGCCCTGCCAGTTTGCAACCGCAGCATCTTCATCGCAAGGGGAAGGGGCATCGTCATTGCGGGGCCGGCGTGGGGCTCGCCTGCCCTCCAAACACTGATCTAAGTGGCAGAGGCTGCTTTTGGGGGCTTTTGATTTGAGACAACTTTTGACTTTCTAAGAGAATAAAAAAACCAAAGAAAGAAAGAAAGAAATATCTCCCCAGCTCCAAAAATATCAAACCAACACTTTTTCTTCTTGGGAAATATTAATATGCTGAGAACATTTTATCTTCTGATCATTACTGTTTCTCTGGGGAAATAAAAATACCTCCCAGCTCCAGTAATCACAACAYGAAAGGAGTGGGGGACAGTTTTGCACCTGTGCACACAGAGGGGACACACCGTGTTCTTGGAGCCAGACAGTCCATACTGTTGTTTATTATCTATAAYAAGTAGCATCCAGAAGTCTCAGCTAAGGATCAAGCCTTAGTGTGCTGGTCCTGTACAAACACAAAGTAAGAATGTCCCTGCCCTGACACAAGCTTACAGTCTAAAAATGGTCCCTTAGGTGGCATCACTCAGAGGGGAACATTAGGAATAGGATGGGACAGAGAAATGAGAAATGAACCTTTTTGTGACTTCCTTTCATTGTCTAAATAAGAGCCATAAAACATCAAACCTCTCTTCAGGAAAACTGACCTTTGCAAAGTAATTTCGAAACAAACAGCAGCTTTTTTTTTTCTTCTCTGCTTTTCTTTTCAGAGATACTGTAGAAACTTAAAAACATGACTGAATTTGTGCATGCCATTATTTATTGAGCTATTTGTGATGGGCACAGATTTCCCTAAGCCTCCAAAGACCCCTCCCCTCCCCATCCTCCCCACTTCCCCAGCTTTAGTAATCRGCTCCCTTGTGCTACAACCCACGCTAGACTATTTTCTTCTGTCAAGTCACTCTCAAATTTTCCATCATCAGTTAAATTACCCAGGTGTATGCTAGTTTTATCATTCTTTGGTGAAATAATCTTTCAAGTCTACTTTGCCCAAGTCCATATCATCCTTTTAGGTCTCCTGTATACCTTGTTGCTCTCCTGGTTAGCTCTTTAAAAGGCCCAAATTCAACAGCTCCTGAGCTAGTGAGCTACCAAGCTTCAACAGCTACAGTGCTCGGTCCTTTACTTTGATGCCCACAATAATCAGCTGCGTCCATCAAAGCTCCCCGGTGCTCTAAGGCCTCAGTGAATTGGAGAGGTTTGGGCTCTTTTTACACACCTTTTTTTTTTTTTTTTTTTCCATCTCTCTGCCTTTTCTCAGAAGCTCCTCTCCGGGTTTTCCTGCCTGTGTTCACCACAGCCTACGTACCTTTTATGACCACGCTTGGCAAGGGCCCTGGTTTGCCATCAGGGTGCCCCGCCGACGCACACAGTGGCAGTTGCCTTCTGACAYGGCAAGACACACTTCACTCAGTCTGTCACGTGAGCCAGCTTTCATCTAGGATGCTCTTTCCTTTTGGCTCCCTACAGGGATCACAGATCCCTGTCTAATCCAGCTCCCTGTCAACACACAGTTGAGTCATAGGAGCCTTTTCTATTGCTACGTGTGATAGCGCTTTGCTATCAGAAGCAGAACATCAGCCCGCTTGGCTGGGCGTCAGCGCTGCCACCCAGCAGCTCTCCTTGTCTGGAAGTTGTTTTGATTCTTTTCTTAGACTTCTCTCTCTCTCTCTCTGTCTCTCTCTAAAACATTAATTTCCTCTAATTAGAGCCTCCTTAACAATTCTTTTTCCCCCCCCTCCTCTTTTAATTTCCTCTAATTAGAACCTCCTTAATAATTCTTTCACTAAATCAATTTCCTCAGTTAGAACCACCCGCCATAATTTCTTTCCATCCTTTCAAAAGCTGTCGGAGTAGCTGAGCAAATTATGCTTCTGAGTAACCTTTATCTCTTACTTGGTATTTTAAAAGAAGAACTGTAGCAGGTTAGACAGGCACAATTTCCCCTGGCAGAGCTATGCTGGTCTGACCCCATTAGGGTGTACTTAGCTGAGCGTTGTACTATTGTGTACTTAATTAGGCGCTCCAGCTCTTCCTCTGGAACCAAGGTAGGGCTGTATTTATGAATGAATTAAACATGACACTCCATTACTCAGATCAGATTTACGTGTCAAAATCCATCTTTAAAACAGATCAAATTGCTGTCTACGAATATATAAAATGGCCTGGTACTGTTAGCTCTCCCACGAGGCAGCCGTTCCTAACTTCTTCTCTGCAGCCACGCCAGCCTTCTTCTTGTGACAAGCCTTTAAAGTAACAATTGCTTCTAAAACACGCTGTTTATAAAAGACTTCTTTGTTGTTAATTTAGGCAGTAAGTAAATATTCACGGTACACTGCTTTTCACSACCACTCACGCTGTGGGCCGAATCAGCAGTTAGTGTAAATGGGGAAGCAGCTGATTTACATCTTACGAACCACGGATTTTAGCTTCCCCTTCTCTCTTATACAGCTTCTTTCTCGTTTGAATTGCATTTCACTTTGCTCTAACCCCTTTCCTTAGGCATAGATGATTCCTGTCACGGCTGACAGAGAGCTGGCAGGGGAGCATGAACACGAGGAACCACCTCTGCCTGAGCTTCCGAAGAGCCATTGCGGAGGGCAGATGGGGAACGCCACGCATGGCTTGTTCCCCTTCCTGATTCTGGGAAGAAAAGGGGCATAGGTGGGTGGCAATTTGGAGTGGGTGTGCAGTTCCAGCAAAGTCTGTTTTTTAATAGAAATATTAAAGAGAAGAAAGTAAGGAAACACATCTGAGCTATTGGAACTCTTCTCCACCACTGGTAGGAGCAGGGGTAGCTGCTAGTATTCCTTTTCCTAGCACCCATTTCTCAAGTTAGCACCTACTACTGTTCACATATCTGAGGATTTCAACACCTGTCCTTGTGAAGAGGAGCACTGTCTCAGCTGAGGCAGGCTGAAGACAGCTACCTTACAACAGGCATATGAGACACCTTCTGGTCTTCATTACATTACAGCTTTCTCCCCTTTTTGGCTATGGAAGCTGGATATGCTGGTCAAAGTCCTAAACCACCTATCAGGATGTACTCACGGGCTCTTGAGAGATCCTATCTGGGTAAGAGTAGGCCATTTAGACCCATGAAACACTTTTCATCATCTGATGATGATCATCTCAATGGGTGGCTGCTTCAGGGGCCATGTCATTCAACAAGAAGAGTGATACATGTGAAATGCTCCCCAGACATCCTACAGTAGACCCAGTCTGTGCCACAACCCACCTTCTAGGCAGGTACAAAGCATTTAGGCCAATCCCAGCTACCAGCAGGAGGAAGGCTGTACCACCATCCTCTCCCAGCCCCTCCTTCTTTCTGATCTGTTCATGTCTCTAGCATTCCCACAAAGTCTATATTGATGGAGGTGGTGTAGAAGTTGTAAAATCTACTTTATATCCTCTGCAGGCTTAAAAACTATGCAGAAAACTCAATTTGCCATCATTTCCCATGGAATTTTGGACTGGGATTGGATGGAAAAATGAAGCACATTCAGGTGTTTGTTCTTGACAAAATCCCTAACCTTTCAGTCAAACACTGCTGATTGGAGAAAGGGCGGTTTGGGAAGGGACAATTCTCTAAAAAGACAGGTTTGGGAGCCCAAAAGATAGAAAGAAAAAAAAAAATAAAAAGCTGTCTAGTTCTTCTCAGAAGAGATGAGATGAGAGCAGGAAAAAGGAATCACCAAACTGGACTGTTCAGACTGATGATCAACTACAATAGGAAGAGACATTGTTTCCTATGCTCCTTGAAGAGTGCATCTTGCCAGCTTCCAGTCCATTCCAGCTGAGGACATCGAACAGCTAGAGATACAGATAGGCAATCCAGTAGACAATGTTGAAGAGCAGGAAGGCGGTGGGAAAGAACACGCGGGAGTAGGAGTCCAGGCGGGAGATGTGAATGCGGATCCTTCCCTCCCGCCACATCCCTGTCTGACAGTCCTCAATGCAGCAGAAGAATCTCTCGCATTCCTTCCCTTCCAGGCATGGGGAGCCAGGGTCTTCATCCTCATCCTCCTCTATCTCTGAGGGCCAGTGCATGATGTTGTTGATGTTGATGGTGGTGAAGGATGGCATCACCTGGACACCTGCAGATGGCTGTAACAAGGAGGTAGAAATGGATTATAGGGAAAGAAAAGGCAAGAAAGAGTGTCTAGAAACAAAAACTCATGACACCAGCAATTAGGAAGTTCATACCACAGGCACAACTCAATGGAGAGGGGTGACTGAGCACTTCCCATCTCTGCACCTGGTTTTAAATCACAACCATAGCATATTGCAGAGTCTGACCCGTCCCTACAAAACTCCAGGTTACCTCTCCGGCATCCTATGCCACAGCTTTAGACAGGAAGATSTAAATGCTCTGTTTTCCCATCTCTAACACTAATACTCAATGCATCAAACTGGGGCTCTTCGGTTTCAGCWCTGCCAGCCTCTTTCCTCATTCCCCTGAGCTCAGCTATCTCTGGAGACACAGCATGCAGYCCAGACATGTCCTCTGGTTACTGTCAGCTGCGGAAGGAAAGCTGGGGGAAGGCTGTGAYTCATAACCTCTTGCTCCAGGAGATGGAGCATATCATCAGTTTTATGGAAGAGCTCTCCATCCATTCTGGGAAATGAGGCTGCCCAAGAAGACATCTGGCTTTTTTTGTTTTCAATCTAGACCTAATTCAGAGCCCTGTTTCAGCAGGAGTACCTGCCATGAGCCTGAACAGGTCTCGATGGAGTAAAGGCCACTTTGGGTTTACTATCCCTACATTCCACTGAAGACACTACGTTTCTGGATCTCTGCTATCCAAGATGCCTTCGTAGTCCACGTAGCTCAAATCAGTACAGGCTGGACAGCCTAGATATGGACTGCCTCATCTTAAAGCAGACAAGTGCATTTGGTCCTGAGTCACCCTAAACTGTACTGATAAGCTCTCCAGTGACTGTGAAGAGACTGGGTATCTGGCTTTAAATGGGAGGACCTTATTGCAGGGGAGCTGCAGTCAATTTTTTAGTCGTCTCTCTCACCTTTCAGGTGCTCAGACCCAACACAAAGCATGGTTTGAAGGCCTCATGTACAYAGGATTAGTGTGTTAAACAACTAAACAACTTCAGTAGTTTCCAGCGTAGGAGCGGGAGGAGTAATCCTAAGTGGCCCGGGATTCTAACAACATCCACCTCCACTTCCCCCTTAGACCTACCAGCCTGGTTTTCCTGCTGTTGTGCTCCAGTGGTTTCTTGTTTCCCACCAGGTAGTTGAGTGTGGCATACTCCATGAGAGCTGCGAAGACGAAGATGAAGCACACGGAGACAAAGAGGTCCATGGCTGTGATATAAGAAACACGAGGAAGGTGCTTGCGGGAGATGGTGCTCAGGGTGGTCATTGTTAGCACAGTGGTGATACCTGAGAGGAAAAAAAGAGTTGGTTCAGGTAATGAAGAGGAGCACTTCTGTCTTCTGCATGCTCTAGGTTGCCAAATCCCCATTTTTCCTCTCTGAAGATCCTGCCTAAACAGTGCAGGGGTGGGAGGGAGTGTCCCCCTCTACTGAAAGGAAGGYATGAGGGAGCAAAGTGTCAGAAAAGCATCTATACAGCGCTCTTTGGGAAGCAGATGGACTCCACATGGGCAGCATCACTCTGCTCAGCCAGACTCCGGTCCTCCAGTGTCCCATGACAATGCTCCATGGAATGAGATCTGTCTGAAATCAGGACACTTGGGTCATCACTATGGGCTGGTAAAGGGGTAGGGAACTCAGCCCCTGTTCAAGGCTGCACATRATGAGCAGCTGTTCGGATGACAAGAGGAGAATCCATGGAAAGGACATGCTAATATAAGCTATAGTAGTGGACAGATGGCTTTGGACAGTCAACGGATGAGCTGGAATTCAGCGAGTGATGCCCAGCTGAGCCAGCAACAAGTGTGACAATGTCACAGACATCAGAGCACTGCTATTTCTGGCTGATGTGAACCATGGGCCAGAATGCAAAGGGCCCAGCTTGTATCCTGCCTTTATCTCTGAACATTTTCTCCCAGGATGAATTTGGCACAATGCAAGGCTCGCTGAATGGGCAGAAATGTTAAGGAATTTCTTTCGATTTGAATAGGACTTGGAGTAGCTTTTGAAACAGCAATAACGCTCACAGATGTCTTTTCTAGAGACCAAGTATCAGGGGACAATGCAGGTCAGTCCCAAGAGTTGATAATGTTGGATTTCATCCACCATTTTTCAGATGCAGAGAATGAGCAGGAACTCTTATGGCTCCTTCTTCTCTAGTACTGATCTAAATATGCCTGCATGTCACTCTCCTTTGCTCACCCCARTGGCCCTGGGTGTATTTTCCTGCTGTATTTGCAGCTGTGATGTGACTTCCTATATATTTGAAATGCTGATGGATACATCTCCCTAATGTAGCCTGATGGGCTTGAATTGGGCCAGGGATCATTTGTATGAAGTGCATCAGGGGCTGTTGAGAGAATACACTATTCTTGACGTGTTGAGGTCCCTTCCCACAGACAGAGAGCCTATCTCCTGGGGGAACCTGCCTGTGCTTTTCGAGTCAGCCACCACAGCGGTGTCAACTGTGTAGAACATTTTGCCCTTTGCAGCTTATTCCTTCTCCAGTCACGGACTATGGCAAAACCTCACCCCCATTGGAAATGACACCCAGCTCCTCCTCCTGCTTTTCTCTGAGGGCACCAACGAAATTGATTTTGCGAGGAAGGTGGGGAGAGATGGTTAGAACAGAAGAACTCAGATTAGCCCTGCCTAACGCTGACTGCCCCTCGCCTCTCCCTCTCTCCTGGCAGAGGCTGGCAATTAAGGAGGGCTGAGGCAGGCTAGGAAGCAGAGCTTGCTGCAAAACATAGATACGGCCAAAGTGTCTTGAAACATGTAAAGAACTCTCTCCTGCTCCTACAGGAGCAGGACTGGATCAACATGAGCTTTATCCTGCTTTGAAGAGCCACTCCAGATTACTCGACAATAAGCTGTTGTCACATCCTGGATTCCCACTGCGGTGTGAGTTACAAGCAAACCTGTATCTACCAGGCTTCCATCTTCTGCCCGTGCTCAGGACTCTGTAATGTGGCTCAGCAACTTTGCTCTTTGACCCAATAACCTTCGTGTTGCTGGACTCACCCTGAGCCCTTGAGAAATCAGGAGCACTTGTGGCAGGAGACCTTTGGACAGTATTGCAATGCAACTGCACACCCCTTCCCTCTGCCCTTCAGAGTGTGAGAATACTACGTGGTCAGGCTGGAAGAGGCTATCACAGGGGTCTCAGATCAAGAYGCACAAATCTTGTGCCAGCCTGAAACACTCTACTGACAGAGACAAGTCTAGCTGGGGACTCGGGTGAGCTTGAAGAGATGGTGTCACAAAGAGGAAGATCCAGAAGAGAGTATCTTTCAGATAGCTGAATAACAGTAAAAAAGGGTAGAGTGTTTTAGGAACTTTCACTCTTTAACATTGCCAGCCTGCTACTCTTGCGAGTTCAACGATCACCAGGCATGCAATAACTTCTCTCTTACCCAGAGATGTTCGGGCTGGTGTGGAATCTCTCTTGATCCAGAAGGAAACCCAGGACAGAACAACAGTCAGGATGCAGGGAATATAGGTTTGAATGGCAAAATAACCCATACGTCTACTCAGATCAAAAGAAACTGTCATCACCATGTACTCCCCTAYGAAAAAGCAACAGAGACACTGGAATTACAACGCAGCTTCCTAGAAAAGTAAAATTTGAGATTTTGGAGTGTTTCTATTGAGGTTTTCTTGTTTGAAGTGCATAGCTGGCTGTTTTTGTGACTGCCCAGCTAGGTAGGTTCATGAATAGTTGTGAGACTAGTTATAGCTTTCTGTAGAAAGCTATTTAGTTGTAACAGGATACATGACCCACTGACTGGTTTGCCAACTATCTACCTGAGCCGTGGCAAAGATGTCCTTCAAACASTTTTGCTGATTCTTTGGTTCTATCCCTGAAAATATCTATGTGGCACTGCACATTCTCATTGCTCACTTGACAACTTATATCTGAGGTTCGTCTTTTACAGAGGCTTATAGAGTTAAGGCTGAGATAGAGCTTGTACACAATTACTGAGAAAAGAATGACAAAATCAGCCAACCACTGCTTCAGCAAGATGGGTTCTGAGCTCCATCTCCTCTCCCACCTGAACCCTTTGATCAAAGGCAGGCTAATTCATAGTAGCATTCTCTCTCTCAGTCCACAGATATCAGCAGTTCTGACCTGCCCCATACGCTRCTTGCCCTCATCCTTCACCTCCACCCCCTCTGCTCCCTCTAGCAAAGGCCCATTTTCTCAGTCTTAGRTTCTTCACATCAGGTCTAACTCCCCTTGACTCTGTCCTGTTGCAGTCTCCTTTCCCCACCATCATGGAGTTGCCCAATAACTCCATTGTCTTTTATAAGGTGTCTGACCCTCTGGCATTTCCATAAGCTGGCTCACCTGCCCCAGTCCTGAGGACCTCTGAGGTGTTCCTCAGCCCTGTGAAGTCRAATTGGTAGAGCCTCCAGGTGCGCTGGTCTGAGACCTCAATGGAATAGCGCCTCCAGCGATAGACAATCTCCTCTCGGGGATAACCATCTGGGAAAAAAGGCAGGGACATCAAGGGAGAGGCTACATGAGGCGGCTGTATCCTGTCCCCTGGCTGGATGGCAGCAGCTTTGCCACTTACTGTAGATGCTTTATAAACACATCTGAAGTCTTGGGGCAGGTATTTTGATGCCCTTTGGTTAGATTCCCCCAGATATCATCCCTGTGCACAAGGAGTAGGGACCTAATCTCCCTTTCTGAGCAGCTTATGAGCCCTAGGAATAGGAAAAGCAATGCTAGAAAGAGAGCCCTTCTAAGCACAGGGACATGGCTCCTGCAGGAAGGAGCGGGGTGTCTCCTGGCTCTACTTCCTTGGCAAAGATACAAACCTAGTGTGAAGCAGGGACCTGGACACCTACCAGAGAGCTCCTCAAGGGAGGGAAAGTGCGAGAGTTTGACAGCTAACTAGAGCTGTGTTTCTAATTATCRAGCAAGTGTGGCATGTACCGTTAATTAGCAATGAAGGAGGGACGTCAGCAGACTAGTGGATATTATCTCCTCAGCAAGATGCCTTTGCCCAGAGCACCTCTAATCCATGTGAGCTGCACCTCTTCAGTGGCAGGAGAGACTCACTGCCCCCAAAGCATGGGGCTGGGACTCTCTTGGTGCAGGCAGGATCCCTGCCAACTTACCAGTAGAGCTGTGCCAGCACCAGTAGCCCTCTCTGCTGAGGAGAACAGATAAACAGGGATGGAGTTGGGAGATGTGATTACCTCCCTTTCCTGATGGCCTTGGGAAAGAAAGCAGGCCTGCTTTGGTCTAGAAAGCTGAAGCAGCCCCTCAGAGAGCAGGAGATGGAGGGAAGATGCTCAGCAGCACTGCTGCCAGCTGCGCGGATGTATTTGGGTCAGTAAGTCAGAGTGACAGAAAGYCAGTGAAAGTTCATGAAATAATCACCTGCAACTGTCTGCCCAAATTAAGGAGGAACTCAGATGCTATGAATCTTGTCCTGAATTCCTTCCTAGTGCWGGAGTAGGAGGATGCTCCAGGGCATAGCGGATATTGACCCAGGRAATGGGTTATAGAGACTAGGTGAAAATGCAGCTAAAAGAGAGGAAGGGGTCCTTAAAGGAACATTGTGCTGAGGCTTCACTACCTGCCTTCTGAAACTATTGTTAAGATATGGATACTCACAACTGGAGAAAACCAGAGGGCACGAGTGAGTGTCCATTGGGAAATTCTGCAGCTGGAGCAGACATTCAGCCTCAATAGTCAGTCTGGGAGAGACAGAAAGAGAGAGAGGGAGCCTGAGTTTTTCTGTTGGGGAAAGTGGCTTGATTCTAACACCACAATGCAACTAACAGAGGGATTTTCTTCCTTGTTCCTTCCTTGAGAGAGACTAATTTGTTGAAGCTCAGTTTGCAAAAACATTTCAAAACAGCAGCAAAACAAAACATCCATTTGGAAATCTGCAAAGTGAGCAAGAAGATATAATTTTCACAATAAAAAGAGCTTTTGATTTAGTGAGCTTGCCAAATTAATTTATGGGAATAGAAACTTATGGGGACAAAAGCCAAATGTGTAGAATCAAAATAAACAGCTGAACTAACCAATGCAAGTATTTTAAAGATTTTGGTGTGGGAAAGCATTTATACTTGTGACTGCTGGGTACAGTTTGGAAAAACGCTTTGATTTTTCAGGAGCCTTCGTCTCAGGAAGCCAAAATCTGTTTTGCAACAAGTGGTAGATATGTGGCAACATCTTCACTACTATGTTCCAGAGCATCTGGAAGCCTCCTGTGCCTCAATGAGCTCCTTGTTCCCTCTTGCCACCAGCCAGCTAGAGTGCCTGCTGCGCATACCTGAGCGTGTAGAGAACTTTGCCATCATTCCAGATGCGGAGGAGCTGATTAGGGGTGGTTATCCAGTGGGAGTCAGCCCGCTTGGAGTTCCTGAAGAAGGTGTCCGGGATCCAGATGCGGCTCACCATGTTGGTGTTCAGCGTGAGCGCCTTGAGGGTGCTGTTGAAACGAAGACGCCGGTCATACCATGTCTGAGCAAAGAAGATGTCGATGGTGTATTCCTGTCAGAGGTAAGAAGGAAATGTCTTTCTGAGAGGGATTCAGGTATGGCMAAACCTTGCCTGCCAGCTTTGAGGCTGCTGCTGTTACAGCCAGAACATTGGCCTCTCAAGCTTGGGAGCAGCTGCTGGTGACCACAGACATCCTCCCTAGCTTGTGGATCATCTCTAGCCCAAGGTCAGGACATCCACAGGGCTCATAAGGAGAGCTGAGGAACACTCTGTGTTGGCTGGTGGACTGAGCTGCAGCATCTTTGGCCTGACCCTTGCCCAGAAAGCCAGGATGGTGTAAATGACAACTTGGGCTGTGAATGACAACTTGGGCTTCTTCTTGCCAGAGAGCTCAAGCACGTTTTTTAGCACAGGTATGTTCAGCACAGGCCTYGAGTGAATCTAATCCTAAATTCCCTCTCTCCCTTTCTTGTTCTGCTACACCTTTCAAACACAGGCAAGGAAGTCTGCTTGCCAGCTTACCAGGGAAAGCAAGCAGACAACCCTTTCTATAACGTGACAGGATACAGCCCAGCAGTGATCCATACTCCTCGTTTTTACAAACAGCAATAGCAGCATGTGTGTAAACCTSGTAACAACCTTGTCCTTAACATGCAAGGCTTAGACCATAAATGGACCAGCTAGCCTAGGGGACAATGTTATCCCCAGTATTATATGGGAAACTGGGGCATTGAACCTACCAAGGCCAATAGCTCTTGCTGAAGATTAGATAAGGAAACCAAGCAGCGTTTGGTTTGCTCAGGGCTTGTCCCTTCTTGGTGCAGCCAGCTCAAACTTTGCCTGAGCCTTTTGCAGTCAAAAAAAAAAAAAAAAAAAAAAAAAAAAAAAAAAAAAAACAATTTGCACCGTAACAATAAAATCAAAAATCTTTGGTTTTGGTGTGAGACAGGCTGTCTTAGCTCACCCATAAGCAGCACTTAGCGGGGGCTGCTCCTAACTGGATGGAGCTGGCACTGGTCCACATCGTTAGCCCACTGGTCTGCCACTTTCCAGTTAGGAAAAGAGCAGCCTTCAAAGCCAGGTACGCAGCATGTCGGCGGCTTGGAAAGAGGGGCCTGGGAAAGCTCAGCCCAGCACCACACGCTGTGGATGGCACCGGGTGCTGCTCAGGGATGTGGACACTGGAGACATGGCAGAGGTGGAGAAGCAGCCAGACAGAGCCCACAGGCAGGCAAAGAAGTCTTGGCACAGSAAGACAGGAACGAGATGGGGCAGTGGGAACCCAGGAGAAGGATGACGGTGGGGAAGGCGGCTTCCCTCCTGCTACTCCAGACTATTGTTGTTTTCCTTGCAAGCCTCAAAGCCAAAATAAGGCAGCCTTTGACTCTCTCTTTCACAGTATCACAGAGTGGTTGAGGTTGGAAGATACTTCTAGAGATCATCTAGTCCAACCACTGCTTCAGCAGGGACACCCAGAGCACAGGGTGGCATCCAGGTGGGTTTGGGAGATCTCCAGAGCAGGAGCCTCCACAGCCTCYCTGGGCAGCCTGKGCCAGGGTTCTGTCACCCTCACAATGCAGAAGTTCCTCCTCACATGGAGATGGAACTGCCTGGATTTCAACTTGTACCCATTGCTCCTTGTGCTATCACTGGCCACCACAGARGCTGAAAGTGGCCACCACTTTCCCCCTGGCCCCTCTCCAAAATCCTCTGCAAATCTCTATTTGAGCTGCTATGAGTCACCAACACATCTGGCATAAAAGGAAGCAAGCAAAAATGCAGTGATAAATCCACACTAGATGCCATCATCAGCTCCCCCTCTTAACTGTGATAACCTGTGAGAACTCGCTTCTGGCCTGGCAACAGATGCCCTGCTGTAACTTTTAGCATTCAGGTCCTGGATAACCAATGCTGAAGTTTCTGGAGAGTTCAGGGTCAGATACCCCAGGTTAGCACTTGCTGCCAAGGCCAACGTTTCAGAAGGGACCAGCATTAAAGATCTCCTCTGGTGCCATTCATACCCAGCCTTTGCAACGGCTGCAGCTCACAAGGCACTGAGCTTTTCTGAGAGTCTGAGAGGTTATTGTCCCTGTCCTGTGGTCTGATCTAATTCCAGTGGCTATTATAAGCACAGCTATTCATGGGRAAGAACTTATTAGCTGAGCTCTTTCCCTCTAGATGGGAAAACCATTGGGAAACTTTGGTATTTACAAATGTATTTTCATTCAGAATTATCTGAAGCAAGATTTATACAGAAATGCTCTGGCCTTGGGTCACTTCTCCAGCGATTCTCTCTGGCTATTGCTATTCACAATTCACTGCCTTCTCTGCATGACCAGCAGATATTGTACTCGTAAAATCTTTCCTCCTTCCAAGGGCAACAAAAGTAGTCTAGAGTGATTTTTTTTTGCTTTCCATAGATCTTACCTCAGAAATCTCACACTGCAAACCTCATTCCCCCAGCATTTTGGTGTGACCCATTCCTCCAGGAAAGCAGGATAAGCCCTTTTTGGTCTGGACTTTTCACCTTAACCCAGGCTTTGGCTCCAAGCTTGGACCCTTCCCAGTTCTGCATCGTTCCTGGAGACTTGAGGCCCTGTGCCCACCCGGAGCTGAGACACCATCTCAGCTTCACCTTGTGCAAGGTGAAGCACCTTGCACAAGAGCGGCTCTGCCCCCGGCCAGCACTCAGACCCAGCTCTGAGCACTGATCAGGTCATCACAGATCTGTCCAGCTTAGCCATAGGCACCTTCCTGAGCTGATCAAACCAGAAGGCMCCTGACTGTGAGCAGGATGAGAAGGGGTAGGCCCTTCTGGAGGGAGATGCCAACACRAAGCAGTGCAGAAGTGCAAGTCTTCCCCTGGGGATGCCTTACATTCTTACCAGCCTTAAAATGAACACAGTCTGACCTAGGTGGAACATCTAAAGTTTCGTGGGCAGTGAGGCCTATGGAAGCACTTCTCCTGGAACTCCTCCATCTTTAGCTTCTCTCTGCCACTGATTAATTCTTTGGCAACAGGAAGAGGCTGCTCCATATCTCGATATCCTCCTGTGGAAAAAGGTTATTATAAAATACACCTCCAACATTACTGCACCATCTGCTGTGCAGCACACGGAGGCTGTTATCTTGTCGCTAAAAGCACGGGCTTTTTAGCTTTCTTAACAGAAGGAGCTAAAGAAATAAGAGGTGTCGCTCCAAGAGCTAGCTGTGCCATTTGGAGCACATTTGGAGCAGCACGCACATGTTGACATGCAAACAATATCACCCCAAACTTCAGTAAAACAACAAAGCAAACTACAAGTAAAGCAAATACTGAAGGCAACCTACTGCACATATGCCCATGTGTATATCCAAAGCCAAGGCATGCCCTGTAGCATCTCTGTAATGAGCTGGGTGGGCTCAGATCCACCTCAGCCTTCCAGCCTGTCCCCAGCCGTCCCTGGTCACCCCAATCATYTCCACATCACTCATCAGGCCTCGTTTTGTTTCCTCATATCAAGAGCATAGGCACTGGTGGACTCTTGTTTACAAAAAATGGTGAAATTTCAAAACAATTAATTAATCTGGCTCACAAAAGAGTGTTTGTGGAAATATGCGGATGTGGAGTTGGCAGGATAATTTCATCTTGGAAGAAAAAATACGAAAAGCTAAMGAAAACATTTTAATCCATTTTTAAAACCTTCCATTAAAAAAAAAAATTGAATGAAAAGCTCTGGAATTTTGTTGGGAAAAGTTGTTTCAGAGGAAACCTCCCAAATTTTAATTGCCAAAAAAGGAAAAAAAAAAATCCAGAAATCAGCCTGCCCTACAGGACAAGTGGGACCTGGCTGCTCTTGTCACTGTTGGACACCAAGCAGTGCCATCAGTGGCATCATCTCACCCAGCTGCTCTGCCCTGCGCCTCGTGGTCCTAGAGCGCCTCCCATTTCAACCATCCCATTCCAAGCACTCACCTGAARTCCAGACCTCAGCTCCTACACCAAAGCCCTGAAACAAGAGGGGCTTCCAATCTGGGTTAGCTCCTTCCTGCRCCTTCTCTCTGCCTCCGTGTGGTCTCACGTGCGCATTTGGGGAATCAGCCAGAATTTCCTCCTCGGTTTGGCCCCACAAAGCTACCCCAGGTTAACTTCCAGCCCGTGCTCAGAGTTGCTATGGGTTTGGGTCACCTAACTGTAGATCAATGGCTTAAACTCACAGGGTTAGTGCGACACAACCTGCAGCCAAGGGTGTGCRTTTTGAGGCTCCCTTGCACGCCAAACAAACGCAGCTCTGCAGTGCCAGAAGATCCCTGTGATGTGTAATTTCTAAACGGCTCTGAGCGAGCGGGTCTGTGCTATTTGTGTGACTCCCTCCAGAGAGGGTTTAATGGGGCTCTGAGGAGTCAATGCTCCACGGTCCCTCTCTGTTCGTCAACAAGATCCAGCTCTAAGAGCTCAGCTCTCTGACAAATGCCACGGAGAGAGACGCAATGCCACAAGAGGAAGAGGTCTCCCTAAATCAGGGTAAAAATTAAGGACTGCGGGATGTGCTTTGCAACTTTTTTGTGCATTTAACAGCAAAAAAAACCTCCTCCAAATAGAGGAGATAGAAACCAGGCAACAGATATCTCCATTTTCTCTTCAGGAGGGATGCCTTGCAAAAAATCCTCAGTAACAGCTGGGATGAGGGATTAATACACCAGTCTCATGCTAGGCTTCGTAGTTTGATATTATTCTTTATGCTCGGAGTCTCATTCCCTTTGCAGCTCCAGGAGGGGTCCCTCGCCRTGCTGCAATCAGGCGGCTTTCCTGGGAAGCATGGCTCACGTTTCAAGGTGGACTCATGTGAATCCGACAGGTCTGTGCTTAACTGCGGAGCTGAACAAAGTGGGCACTGAGCGCAAGCCCTTCCAGGCGCYGCAATCCCGACGATCCCTGCTGGGGTTATCAGGGAAGCCTCAGGGTGCATTTCTTCCAAGGCCTGGCTGGGCGCCCCTGTGCAGCTCACTACAAGCCAGGAAGCTTCTCCTCCAGGCTGCCCTTTTTCCTGCAAAACAGGAGTTGCTCCAAG